ATTAAACCTTTAAAATTTAAAGACCATTTCGAAAGTACAAATATATCTACATCCTATATGAAATGTCTCTATTTTTTAAGTCAGTCGTTAAATACCAATTAGTCTCCGAAGGGCTCTACAGTCTGCAAAAATTATTTAATCTCTTATTGATTCCTTAGGAGAATTTGGAGTTGGGTCAAAAACGTCAACATGCGGCTTGTACCTTTAACATTTTTCAGCAGTTTTTAGAACTTGGAACTTGGAACTTATACTTCCAAATAGCTGGGCTAACGCTGGGAGATATAGAATAACTAATTAATAATGCTAATAATCTACAATAAATATATAAGTAAATATGTAAAGTCTAAAAGAAACAATAAATGTAAATAGTTCAAAATATTTTCAGGTGGTTCGGGGTCTTCATGTTCTGAATGTCCCTTATGGCTTATGATTTAAAAGAAGTAATGTTCTCAGCTTGGGCTGTTTGAGTTGACAGTTTATTCCATACCCGAACAGTTTGTATAAACGGAGAATAACTGTGCGCCAAAACACTTGAGTGGGGCTGGAGCATGGCATGTTGGGTCCTTGGTCTAGGAGCTGGTTGGATAGGAGAAAGGAATTCAAGATCTATGAGATTGTTTTTGATTTTATAGAAAAGAGTCACTTAGGCCAGCAAACGTCTGGATTCTAAGGAGTCCCAAACCAAGTTTATTGATTTATTGGAAATAAATCAATTAGACTGTTTCAATGGTATCAAGGCTAGTTTAACTCGCCTCGTGCAAACGAAATGTAATCCTTGAGTAGTTTTCTCGCTGTCATAAGTGATCATTTTGTTGTGGTCTTGTCCCACCCATGCTGTAAAATGCCTAAAAACAGACAAGAATTCATATATCAACAAATAATCATATGAAAGTAAGCATTCTAAGGAAAGATTTCCGAATAGCCCCATCCCAAAGGTAATCTGTTGTTTTGCCTTTAGTTTTTTCATCCAAGAATTGGATGTACATATATATATGTATTGAATCCCATAGAATCTTGCACACGGGTACAAACGTCAGTTCACAAAGTTCCTCTCAAGCATTTACGTTATCTCTGATCACATTCAAAGATATTCTTTTTCGAACTTTCAACCTACAGAGATCTCACAATTTGTTCAAAAATGTTATTATTAAAAACTGGAACATTGGGTAATGCAATTCAAGACTTTTTATTGGCTTAGCCATTATGGTATATGAGCCAATATACCATAATCTAATATCTGTACATTGTAACATTCGGTTTCTTCTTGCAAAATAAAGTCGAGAAGATTTGTCTAATATCTTGGAGGCGTTTTTTTTTTTTAATAAAACAATTATTCCACTCGTGCTTGTTGGATATGAGATGATTGTAGCCAACTCGGCGCTACGCCCCTCGTTGGCTATCTATCATCTCATATCCAGCGCGCGCTCGTGGAATAATTGTTAAATAGTACTGACGATACTTGTGTAAACCAAAATTCTCAAAGCTTGATTAAGTGAAAAAAATTATTAATTTTGTTCTTCATCGTTATCAGACAGTTACCACGAATGAAATAATGCCATGTTATTCAAATTTATCACACATGCGATATCCATGTTTAATTCAATTTCATAAATAACGGAC